CTGGATGCCTGGATGAAACCATTGAATAGAGAGTTTTTTTTTTTTTTTTTTTTTAGCATAAGACGACAAGCAAGAAGAAAAACAATGAGTCCCCTTTTTTTTTTTTTTTTTTTTTCTTCAAATCCCACTGATTTACAGAGAACAAGAGTACCGCTTTTTTTTTTTTTTTTTTTTTTTCCTCCACCCTTGAAAACCTCGAGGATCGAGGCTCGAGTTTTTTTTTTTTTTTTTTTTTTTAGAAAAACAATCCATAAACTAGAGATCTGCAATTTCGAAATTTTTTTTTTTTTTTTTTTTTCCAGATAAAGAGAGACGGTGAGTTTTGAGRTCTTCCACAGTTTTTTTTTTTTTTTTTTTTTTTTGCCACGAACATGCGACTAAGTGGCTGTGACACAGGACTGGACCACAATAAACCAGAAAAGAACGTGGATGATCTTACAATTAGCAGCTTGTCAAACATTTTTTTTTTTTTTTTTTTTTTACCGTTTAATTTCAAGATGCATGAATCACATCTCGGTTCCTTTTTTTTTTTTTTTTTTTTTTTTTAAATGAATTATTGGTGACACAAATACAGTGTTAAGGTTTTTTTTTTTTTTTTTTTTTTCTTCTATCAATGTCCTCCATTTCTGTCATGTACTGTCTTTTTTTTTTTTTTTTTTTTTTTTGAAGCTTGTTCATCTATGAAAGGAAAATCACAACCAGCTTTTTTTTTTTTTTTTTTTTTTGAACAGTCTTAGTTCCTTAGTTTCTCAAAAGAGATAATTTTTTTTTTTTTTTTTTTTTTTTTGGGTGGGAAAATGTATGCCCCACTCCCCAATCTCACACATTTTTTTTTTTTTTTTTTTTTTCTACTAGGTCGGCGTTTTGTTCACACGGAAACAACTTAAACCCGGGGTTCATGTCAAAGAAAGATTACAAACTATAATTACGCTTGTGACTTGGGGGAGGTTTTTTTTTTTTTTTTTTTTTTGACGATTTCATACGACACGTTCCTATGTCCCAGCTCTCATTTTTTTTTTTTTTTTTTTTTGACCACAAATTGACTTCTGCAACTTGATTTGTCAAAAAAATTTTTTTTTTTTTTTTTTTTTGGACCTCCTCCTTTCATATACAAGTTAAGGAAACATAACTTAGCCCTTCATACGTGAACCTACAAGCTACCGTGATACAAAAGGTTGAACGTTAATTGTAATTTTTTTTTTTTTTTTTTTTTCTATCCCTGGCCTCCGTCAGTCTGCTGTCTAAATCAGACATTTTTTTTTTTTTTTTTTTTTGTTTCACTTTAATTGATGACTCCAACTGAAAAACCTATTGTTTTTTTTTTTTTTTTTTTTTTATATTGTGTCCATTGATGAAGCCCATTATATTTTATTATTTTTTTTTTTTTTTTTTTTTTCAATTTATTACATAGCGCGCGCGATTCCTATCCAATTCCTTTTTTTTTTTTTTTTTTTTTTTCTCTMAATTATTGCATTGTTACYTCATTRTACCATATTATTTTTTTTTTTTTTTTTTTTTACGCGACGGTACTACTGCAGATCAGGGAAAAAATAAGGACTTTTTTTTTTTTTTTTTTTTTGCCGCACTAAACCATCCAAACGGATTTTGTTCCTTTTTTTTTTTTTTTTTTTTTTTTTTTTGAACTTTTAAGCTTACAAGAAAAATACTGCTAACTCGTTAGGTATTC